GTTACTGATCCACACCATCGAGAACTGATGGTAATGTGGTCAATTTGAGTTTGTGGCCAGCATGCCGTTGGAGTGCTCAATGTGGCCAGACGACTTCGGCTGTTTCGGAAGTTAGTACTGCACAAAAACAGCCTGCGATCACCATACAGATGAAGCAATCGTTCCCCATTATCCGTACGTACCGAGTCCAATCCATGTCGACCTCCTAATTGAGTCTCAGATGCCCGCTTGTGCATTCATATCTCCGGCAACCACCATGATGTCTGAGGTTTTAGCTCGCCACAGCAGGGGTTTCAGGGGGTTATAAAACCTGTATTTGTCGGCATCGGATCTACAGTCAGGTGGGGCGCAATCAGACTCGATAAACAGACATCTATCAACTTGCCGCTTGTAAGACTCCTTCACAGACGTTGCCAGAGGAACCACACAAAGGCGACTAGCAACAGTTGTACAGTCAAGTAAGGATATTTCAACCCGGTGACTTGGCACGATACAAACCCTTGCACATCCGGCCACAGCAGCCTCTGGATCATCAGCCGGAAACGAATGGAGACTGAGAGAGCGGTTAGCTCAGTCACTGTGCTTGCATCTTGAATTCTCGTTTCTGAGACACAGCACACATCAATGCCAAGCGAGTCCAGTGTGAGTGCAGGAGCAGCTTGTCTTGCTGCTTGCTTCACAGTGCGGACATTGAATGCAGCCAGATAGGCTAGGTATGGAATCCTGAAGATTGATTTGGGAATATCTGAGGCTGTTGGCGCCAAGTGACGAGCAGATACTACACGCAAAACCGATGGATGACGAACCGAGTCATCAGTCCCAACTGCTGAGCCTACAAGGAGAGGGTTGATAATTGGGTGAGGAGTGGAGGAAGAAAAAGTATGTGAAAGAGAAAGAAGGGAGGCATCAGCAGTAGCTTGTTTTTGCTTACCCGCCATGCTGTATGCCGCAATTAAGGCGACCCGGCTGATGACACCACACGACGGGCTATGTATCTTGAGTTTAATTGTATGTGTGCATTTCATGTTTGTACGTGAACTGGGATACTGAGAGGGCGGCCACACCTAGACAGGAGGACGATTAAGGTCCTCAACCAAAGCGTCTGACTCAAAAAGCCTAACCGCAAGGCAGCGGTGTTCGGCGGGAAATGCAAATGCATTACCATTTCTACGGCACAAGTCACTACGTGTTCCAATCCCCAACCAGGAGACTGTTCGTCAGACCTCTAACCGTTGACCAACCTGATATGAGTCTCAAGGGGACACTTTCCCGTATAGCTCAATTGTTCGCTGAGGTGCGAAAACCGTCACACCACTGTAAGGTCCAGTCTCTTCGTGACAGTCTAGTTTGAACAACCATTTTGTACCTTGGAAAAGTTGCTATTTTGCAACAAACTGGCTAACTCCATTCATTTCAACCGACTTGCAGGACAGAAGTAGCATGTCTACATGTGTGAGAGGCGTACGGTCGCTAATAAACACAATTAACATAAACGATATGATGCAAAGAAGTTGAAATACGTGTTCTTGTCCCAACTGATGAGTCTGGACTCATCAGAAGTTGTATGGAACTCTGCGGGGTGAGACCTAACAAACGTTTGCTGCCCGGATTTAAATCCCTTAAACGAATAGTTTCTGTCTTTTCCACTAGACCCTAAAATTTCTTGTGCCTCATTCACGCTCCAAATAGTAGCGTCATTTTAATATCTCGGAAGTACTTGATACGATTGACAATGTCTTCCAATTTCGATCGCGCATTTCCTCTACGGCAGCGAAGCATCAGTGTTGAACATTAGTGATGATGATGATGGATGGATGACGGTGCATATTTCTTCAACTGAAACATTGAGCAGAGAAGCTGTTTGGAGCTCTATTTGCAATCGTTAAGGTGGTTTCCAGTTTCCTTTTAACTGGGTTCATGAAGACCATCCTCAAAGCAGGAGAAATTTATCACCTTGATGCTTCTTCCGCAACCTTACTCAAAATGATACTACGTGATACTTCTTCGCAGCGTCCTTGATGATGTGGCTCCTCTTTTTCACTTGATTCGTCTTTCGACAGAGGTAACTATAATTTAGTGTACCCTCCTTGAATTCTCTTCGACATTTCTCAGTGTGTATGGGCAATTCCGTCTACACAGGCTGCTTGGCTATCTGCTGCTTGGTTTTCTGGCTGGTTATTTTTTCCCCTCTCTACCCCATCCCAGTAATACTGATGTTCTCCAAGGTGCAATTTTTTCTCCATTTCTTATTTACTATACGGATGATATTCGAACCGTCCAGCTAGTCGGACTTTTTAACTACGTAGATGGTTGGTCATTGGCTTATTCACTCAGCTGAGCGGTTTGACTGCAAACGTCCCATCAGCAATCGATGTGACATCATCAGTGCGTTGTTAGGGAGAGTAGTGGAGCCTGGTGGATGTAGCGATGGGCCAGTGGTTGTGCGCTCAGTCGCATTGTGCGTGTGTAACTAAGCGTTTGCAATCGAATCGTTCAACCCAACGAACGAACTAATGACCATCTACGCTACCTGAACTACCGTTATTTTCCTCACTACAGATGGTTTTCAGTTCTGTTACGTTTTTTTATGCCACTAAACAATGGTCCTTTCAGAAACTATCTGATGTAATATCCCTGCTCCTTCCAAGTAGATTTAAAACCCGACGCTTTATATGCATAAAAATGACGTTTCTGCGTCGATTTTTTCGTATCAAAGGCCTTGAGATACCTTGTAAGCGTCCTTTAATTTTGTGTATTCTCATTTCCAAATGCTTCTAATATGTGGGACCATGCTTCTTGCCCACCTTAATTTGGGCTGCTCGCGTTGAAACAATCTTTCCAAACCTTCATTTGGCTTAATGTTTTATATTTGGGCTTGTGTCCATCGTCATCAGTAGGGCGCTGGCGTCATAATAGGGATTGTCTCCAGCCTTATCTATGCCGGGATTTCCCTGGATAAAAATTCAGCAGTCGGTTTTGAACTCGTCACCTAACTGATCCTGACTCCATTAAAACCTACTTCCAGACAATCTTTTCTACTTAGATTGACTTTTATATGCCATCTGTCTCAGTTTCTGTCTACCCCAGGTGCTTTCGCAGAGCTCTTGTCGCACTTGTAACCTTGTACCCTATTTCTGCTATTATGGTACACACCCTTCTTTTTACCTTTCAGATGACCGAATGTATCGACTCATTAACAAAGAAGTTTGAAGAGAAGGGACGTGAGCTACAGCGGTACAAAACCGAACATAAAATTCGGATAGTGGGGGAGAAGGAACCAAATGAGCCTGAAAAGAAAGGTGTTTCCAGTTCCGGTGTTTTGGTCTCTTAGTTTATTCAGCACATCCCGCGTGAGCCACTGGGAGAGATCAATTCAACTGGACGGTTTAGGAATACGCTATGCTGTGAAACAACAAGGGGAGTTGCAGTAATGACGTTGCCACTAATCCGTCCCTCCATTGCTTTAGCTGTTTCATTCTTCTGGTTATTCCGTATTGTGATGTGACGCCCTCTTCCTCCTACTTTTATTCGTCCTGAACATTTCGCGTGTCATGCTACTCCTGTTCTTTATCTTTATCCCTAGGGTTTCTTGTCATCTCGATTTCACCTTAGCTCTCCTTTTGGTTGTTCTCTGCCTCACTTCGAACTCTCTGAATATCAACTTCCGCTTTTTGTGTTATCCCTTTATCCTGTTTCTTCCATAATCTCCATTTTGTGCGAATGGAGCCATTCTTCCGTCTTCGTGATTGATACCCAAAGTCCTGTACGCATCGAACTGGATGTCCCCAAGCCACCGAATCAGTAGCTTGTAAAATACATTTTTCTGAGTTTCTGTGACCTTAAAGATTCGGTTACCGAGTGCATTAACGCAAAATCATCGGCCCACTAAGTCTTGCTCCTAACTGTGCCCATCCTGGTGCACACGGGTACATTCCAATATTTGCATCCTGGTGAAATCTCAAGCTTGCCATTTAGGTTTTCAGTCACGTGTGTTTGTTTTAAATGATGCTCATATTTTGGCCACATCAAGTGGGGATCCGTAGGACTTCAACTTTGAGAATTTGGGTTTCTATATTATAATTTTAGTTGACTTTATTGAATTAGAGACCATGAATATGCCCTCCGATGGCTAGTATCGTGATGGGCCAGTGGGTACTTACAACCGAGCATTTGACTGCACTTGATGGTTCTTCGGCATAGTTGCAGTTGTTTTTCAATTTTCGCAGCGAAGTAGTCAAAGAAGTGAACTATCTGTACGACTAGTCGATTACTGGAAATGCTGAGGCGTATAATTTGGACCAAGAGTTTGCCCCTTCCATTGGGGCAGCTGCTTGCATTTTGGAAGAAAGGTCACGACTGATCACTCGTAAGGTGCGTCGTTGATAATATTCATTAAACAATTCTCCAGAAAGGGTCTTTTGTATGATGGCTTATCTCCTCAGTAAAATTTTCCACCAGTCTCCAGGGCAAGTTACAACACTCAGTCCTTTTGCCTTTATTGCGGTCACCTTTTAGTTCTCCACATCTGTGTGTACGTCTCCAGTTATCAGTCATTTATAGTGTACTACGCATCTGACTACAGTGCACCTGAATCCCTCATTCAATAATCGAAGCACAAGGTTAGAGCACATCAGTTTAAGTAACTGGGCCCTTAGCACAGTATTGCACGCCCACAATTAGATAGGTTTGGACGGCTCACTTGTTGAATGGGAGGTTAGAAGCAAATTTCGACGGCATAGTAATCACGCCTTGGATTATCAGTAAGAATTAGGTTTTGCAAGAAATACTATCCCAAGTAAGTAGGGCGTATATTTAGAAAATCGGATTAGAGTAGATAAACAGGAGACCAGAGGATACAGGACAGGCTTGCGAATTATCGAGTTCAGTTGTTTTACCAGGGCGATGCCAGGCCAAACAGTGGATGATTTTGACTATATAGTTACTTACGCTACGTTCAAACCACCTACAGACTGCTTTTTGGATGACTGGAGGCATCACATGCCCGTCTTTTTCCCCCAATTCCCGCGAGTGTTTTGTTGTCCGCTGAACAACGTCTCTCATCTTCAATGAGCACACGGGGCATGTACAGAAGCACGAGTAGACAGGCGCTTGGTTGTATGAGCGGCCTCCCGCAGGTACACTTGAAATGGTATATAGTTAACTTGGCTTAGTACAGTTAACTTGGACAAGGTGCTTGATCTCCTCAGAACTTATCTGTTCGACGGAAATGAGCGGTATTATACAACCGAGTGGTAACAGATCTTCCTGCCCCGCAAAAGCGAAGAGACTCACATGTGAAATTTACGGTTGTATGTGGTCTCAACGTGACAGAAGTTTCGACCATGTGCAGACCAAACCCTTTGCTGTCATCAAAATTGTCTACTGGTTGGCCTGGTGTCGCCCTGGTAACAATTGAATTCCGTATCTTGCAAGTCCATCCTGCATCCTGTTGTCCCTTATTTGTCCATTGTCATAACTGCATCTTTCACTGATCCTTGCCGAAAGTACTATAATGGTTCGGTGCATTCTGGGATGGAACCATTCAGTTATGAGATGGGTTCCCTCAGAACAATGTTTCGGGCCACTTGTGTTATCGTCATTTTCTACATGATGCAAACAGGGCTCCAAATTCGATTTTGGCGCTGTGGTTAAGTTGTTCGGTATCCGAACGCCTGGCTGTTGATTGAAAAACGGCTACTAATTTTTTCGGTCAGCTTGGTTATCGTTTCTCACTCCGCCCTATTGTAGCTGAACATAACTGTTGCAATAATGCTGTCAGAAGGCACAATCTACATCAGTACAATTAAGTTCAGCCGCTAGCTCTGTCGACCGGCTGTAACACCCCTGAGAGACGTTTTCTGTGTATTTTCTAGAACATTTTCAAAGCTGCCTATTTGGTTTGGCAGAATAGGATTTTGAAGCTCCGACGGCATTCTTGTCCAGTCTCATCATCAAAGACAGTAACGTTAGTGTTGACAGTTGCTTCACTACCATATTGTGGCCTGGCACGTGACCCTTGCCTTTTTGACACGACAAATGGAGCAAGTTAGCAAACGTTATTCGAGCTTTTGAGATTCTTGCAGACTTCGTCAGGCACACTTCCGTCATAGCTAATACAACTGCCGAGGTACGTAAAGTTCTCCACAACCTCTACTTGAATTGTTAGGGACATGTTCAGAGACTGCATTCTGAAGCATGGCTGCACTTTGAAGGTGCGAAGCACGTGTCAAAAGGTGACAGGACTTGTAACTTGCCTTGGCCTTCAAAGATGTGGGTGACACCATTTTCGTACTCTAGGTCAACAAGCTTCTAAACAGTTTGAACACCGGCGTTCGCCCTATCATTTCATCAACGATGAAGTTCAACGAATTCAAAGTGCGAACATCCTTGTCTAATCCTTGTACAATCTCTCTCAAGGTGATCCGACAAGCGAGACCATAGCAACGTAAAGCGAATTTCATTTCCTACTGTTGTGTAACATGAATTTAATTGATTTAAGTAACCTATGCCACTAGGTACAGTGGACACGATGAAAAAAATAGGACAAGAAGGGTATAGTTCCTGGCACATTTGTAGACTAGTTGCAGTCTTCGGACTCACTTCAAGTCCAAATGTTTGGATAGTGTTACGGCATGCGGAGTTAATACGGCCTGATCGCTCCTGTTTGATTCCTAGAAAATCCAGTTTGATCACGACAAGTAGGAGTAGTAGTAATAAGAGTGATTCTTCCACTAGTAAAACAGGAATAAATTACACTGCCAGGATAACCCCAATAAGTTGGTTGGGAAACCTCTGAGGACGGGGAACTGAACGTCTTGGATACTGATCCAAACAAAATACGAAGTGACCTTGTCAGGACGCGTCCAGACATGAAAAGGAGCACCTGTGTAGAGAGGTGCCCATTAGCCGAACAATGCTTTTAGCTGCAAATTCTTTAAGAGTGGAGCGGTACAGACCAAACCCTTTGCTGTCATCAAAATTGTCTACTGGTTGGCCTGGTGTCGCCCTGGTAACAATTGAATTCCGTATCTTGCAAGTCCATCCTGCATCCTGTTGTCCCTTATTTGTCCATTGTCATAACTGCATCTTTCACTGATCCTTGCCGAAAGTACTATAATGGTTCGGTGCATTCTGGGATGGAACCATTCAGTTATGAGATGGGTTCCCTCAGAACAATGTTTCGGGCCACTTGTGTTATCGTCATTTTCTACATGATGCAAACAGGGCTCCAAATTCGATTTTGGCGCTGTGGTTAAGTTGTTCGGTATCCGAACGCCTGGCTGTTGATTGAAAAACGGCTACTAATTTTTTCGGTCAGCTTGGTTATCGTTTCTCACTCCGCCCTATTGTAGCTGAACATAACTGTTGCAATAATGCTGTCAGAAGGCACAATCTACATCAGTACAATTAAGTTCAGCCGCTAGCTCTGTCGACCGGCTGTAACACCCCTGAGAGACGTTTTCTGTGTATTTTCTAGAACATTTTCAAAGCTGCCTATTTGGTTTGGCAGAATAGGATTTTGAAGCTCCGACGGCATTCTTGTCCAGTCTCATCATCAAAGACAGTAACGTTAGTGTTGACAGTTGCTTCACTACCATATTGTGGCCTGGCACGTGACCCTTGCCTTTTTGACACGACAAATGGAGCAAGTTAGCAAACGTTATTCGAGCTTTTGAGATTCTTGCAGACTTCGTCAGGCACACTTCCGTCATAGCTAATACAACTGCCGAGGTACGTAAAGTTCTCCACAACCTCTACTTGAATTGTTAGGGACATGTTCAGAGACTGCATTCTGAAGCATGGCTGCACTTTGAAGGTGCGAAGCACGTGTCAAAAGGTGACAGGACTTGTAACTTGCCTTGGCCTTCAAAGATGTGGGTGACACCATTTTCGTACTCTAGGTCAACAAGCTTCTAAACAGTTTGAACACCGGCGTTCGCCCTATCATTTCATCAACGATGAAGTTCAACGAATTCAAAGTGCGAACATCCTTGTCTAATCCTTGTACAATCTCTCTCAAGGTGATCCGACAAGCGAGACCATAGCAACGTAAAGCGAATTTCATTTCCTACTGTTGTGTAACATGAATTTAATTGATTTAAGTAACCTATGCCACTAGGTACAGTGGACACGATGAAAAAAATAGGACAAGAAGGGTATAGTTCCTGGCACATTTGTAGACTAGTTGCAGTCTTCGGACTCACTTCAAGTCCAAATGTTTGGATAGTGTTACGGCATGCGGAGTTAATACGGCCTGATCGCTCCTGTTTGATTCCTAGAAAATCCAGTTTGATCACGACAAGTAGGAGTAGTAGTAATAAGAGTGATTCTTCCACTAGTAAAACAGGAATAAATTACACTGCCAGGATACCCCCAATAAGTTGGTTGGGAAACCTCTGAGGACGGGGAACTGAACGTCTTGGATACTGATCCAAACAAAATACGAAGTGACCTGTCAGGACGGCGTCCAGACATGAAAAGGAGCACCTGTGTAGAGAGGTGCCCATTAGCCGAACAATGCTTTTAGCTGCAAATTCTTTAAGAGTGGAGCGGTATTTTTGCGCCAAAATGTTGAATTTTGTTGCGTATGTGCTCAATCCAAAAACTATCCTAATCTACATTCATATTTTTGCACCTCACCAAATTTCATTTTCCACTGAAACAATTATATCTCTGGCGGAAATGTCTGGTCGAATAAGTTCCCAACCTCACTGGGACTCCGTACCTAAATAAAGCTCAAAAGTTTGGACGGGTACTCTGAACCCAATAGTTCGATTGCTTTACGAATAAACATGGTTGGTGTCAGAAAGCGTCCAGACATGAAAAGCACATGTGCAGAGAACGACGCGTTCCTAAGGTCTCCATGGGTACCATATGTTCCGGACAGTAGGTGCGTGGGGAATCCTACAAGACACGGCTTACCAGCATTCGACTAGTTGATTGGGTGTGAAATTGTTCACGGCAGGAACGTCGCCATTGGCTGGGCGGAACGAACAAGCGAACGACCATAAGTGGCCCTTTAGCCATCTTATATCTTTACGCAGAAGTTCTATATGTTTTACCTGGCAATACGACAATTTCCAGATTCTTTGTCTTGTCTCGTAGTCTGGCAGTTTCAGTTAAGTCGTAACCGATAGACGGCCACCGATGTTACAACAGAACTTTACGCAGTCGTATTTGACTGAAAAATACCATGTGACAAGTTCATTTCGGTTTCATGTGGATCTCACGGTAACTGTGTATTCATTAGCTGATTAGTCTGTGACTACGCAGATCTCACGTTATTTTCAGTCTCCCATGATACTGGAGACGCCCAAATAGGCTGCTGTCAGACATCCAGTAATGTTTTCACAGTGAAAAGATTGCCGACTAAGAATCCCCTGGAGGACGAGAAGAGCTTCTCATCGTAGACATTCTTACCCACTAGACCGCATATTGAAGCGAATAGTTTTCTCCTGAGGATGTATTTGTTGCTCAGCTTAAAGGTCTTCCTCATTCCTCCCCAGTATCTTGTCGAAGCCGATGAAAATTCAGAAGTAATTATCACGGCTGAGCTCTGTTTTCCAACAGATTTGTTGTCCCTCTGGTCTATTGAATCAATCAGGAATCCTGAATCCAAATCCCTCATACACATGCAAAGCAAGTGAATAGAGCAGTTGTTGCCTTGAGTTATGAACAAAAAGGCCATAAAAATGGTCCCAAACAAACGCAGAAAGTTGGCAATTAGATCAACTGATCGTCACACAGGACTGAAAACAACCGTGTTATTTCTGTCGCATGGTATCCAATTTATATATATATATATATATATATATATATATCCGAAATATTTTAGGTAGAAAAGCTCATTGAAGGAACTAACGGCTACAGGCTTCGAAGGACAGCGCACCTAGAGCTAAGCAAATGCAGCTACCGACCTGTCAAGGCGTTGTGGAGGTGGAACACTAGTGGTTCATTCCGCTTGTAAAAATAACATGTTCAGATCCCCAAGATTGTGGAAGGTTGGAATTTGGAGAAAACCGGAAGTGACATTCTCTGCGCCTCACAAAATATTCCCCAAAAGCCCATTTCCTGGGGAAATTTTGCTTTCTTTTATTGGGAAGAGTTGGGCTGGATCAGTGAGTGGACACGAAAGACCGGGGCTATTGCTTCGTGCAAGTGGTTGGCGAAGTTCCAATGTCGGGTATCCACAAGATAGTGAACCTAAATTTGAGGTCTCAGTTGTGTATCTTCCGAGGTCGTAGGTGGTTCCACGTCCACCGTCCAGGGTTATACTTCACCTGTGGGCTCTAGATGAGTGCCAGCTGGTGGCCACAACAGTTGTTGTTCGAAGTATTCAGCCCACCGGTCGAGACGTTCTTCTTTATTTGAAATGGTCGTCCCATTCTGATGCTTGATGGTTTCACTCACAGGTTGTTTTCCGAGGACCGGTCGCACGGATCAACTGAAATAATCTTCGGGCATTATCGGCTTTCTGGGTCTCTTCCATTTCCTTGGCTTTCTGTAGCCACCATACTTCACAGTCGGGTCGCTCGCTCACTTTCAATTGACGTCTGATAACTCTTCGCACCGGGTTATGTTCGGGACTTGCTGGGATATTTCTCCGAGATTCAAGCAGTGCCACCGTTTGGCCTGATATCCAGCGCTTGGATGAGACTAGTAGCGCCATACCGTGAGCAAAACTGTCAGCACTGCGCAAAGAGGCGGCGGTCTCCTCCCAGTATGAACTCACATCTCATGGTGGAGCATTTGGAAGAGACTCTAGAAGATGATTCTGGTAAATTCGTCAAACATCTGCCGATCTCCCAGTTGCAAAGCGATTTGTCCGCACCTTACGCGGCCCCGGAAAACGTAGGGCGACCGACTCCGGATGAGCGCGTGGTCAGAGTCCACAAATGTGTTCCAAAACGACCGGCAGTCAGTTACTGATCCACACCATCGAGAACTGATGGTAATGTGGTCAATTTGAGTTTGTGGCCAGCATGCCGTTGGAGTGCTCAATGTGGCCAGACGACTTCGGCTGTTTCGGAAGTTAGTACTGCACAAAAACAGCCTGCGATCACCATACAGATGAAGCAATCGTTCCCCATTATCCGTACGTACCGAGTCCAATCCATGTCGACCTCCTAATTGAGTCTCAGATGCCCGCTTGTGCATTCATATCTCCGGCAACCATCATGATGTCTGAGGTTTTAGTTCGCCTCTCTGCACATCCTGCCGTAGTATCCCCTGAATCGTCAGAGTTGCGTAGCCGGAAGCTATTATATAGTAATCAGTTGATTAGCTCATCTAGAATGCTTGTTTCTAGTACACAGCATGCATCAATGCCAAGCGAGTCCAATTTAGAAGGAGGAGCAGCTGTTTGACCTGCTTGTTTCAGAGTGCAGACATTGAAGGCTGACATATATGCTGGTTGTCAAGGTTGGTATTGATTTCGTGATTCTTGAGGATTTCGGCGCCGGATGGCGGGCATGTTGCCTGCAAAACCTTCGCACGGCGAACGGAGTCATGAACCCAAAATGCTGGATCTACAAGGAGTGTTATTAGTGGGTGGGAAGAGAAGGTAGAAAAATCATGGTAAAGTGAAGGAAGGGAGGTGTCAGCCTGTTTTTGCTTACTCGATGGCTAATATGGTATGAGTTTATTTGTATGTGTGCAATTCATGGTTGTACGTGGCCTGGGGTACTGCCAGGGTGCCCACACCTAGACAGGAGAACGATTAGTGTCCTCAACCAAAGCGTCAGGCCCAGAACCCTGACCACAAGACAGCGGTGTTTGGCAGAAAATGCAAGTACATTACCATTACTACAGAACACGCTGCCACACATGTTCCAACCCCCAACATGGAGAACCGGAAGACTGTGTTTTTCAGACCTCTAACTATTGACCAACCTGGTGTTAGGGATTCCGCGAGTGTCGCGCGAACTCCACCAGTATGACTCAATGGATGGCCGAGGTACACAAACCGCCACAGCACGGTAAGTTCCCGGCGGACATCTTCATATCCATGCGACAAATGTCCACCAGACCGCTTGAACGACGACACATTTTTATTCTGGTCTCCTCTGTAGTCTGGCTCCTCGTCCGAACCCCCAAGTCAGATAGTGTAATTAGCGCTTGAAACCTATCACACATTATGTTTTGGTTAACGGTGACAATCACAGTTCGCAAATAAAACATCCAGAGTTCACATCTACTGAGGATCATGAATTCACGCTATTGATGCGTTATAACAAGAGTGGGTTTCGAGTCTAGTACCTCATCTTAATTTGGGGTACATATCGATCGATAGTACAATGCATACACGAGATTGTCTTCTCGACACTCGGTTTCAGCCTCACTTGTTCTTTTTCAGACACACTCAAAAGAACTTACCGATCAGTAGCCATTATTCGACTAAGTTTACTTTTGAACCACATTTTATACAATTCTATCTCCACCTAAGATATCTTTTTCCAGATCCGACTGTGCGAAAGACACGTACAGGGTCCAAGCTGGATCAAAGGATTCAACCATTAGACAACGTCGGAACGCGCCCACCCGATAACCGCCACCCACATGCCCCTCGTTAGCCGTATTTCGTTGAATATTGTTTGAGCACTGATTCATTCCACGGATAGTAGGCTCAGCAGAGTTTGCCGCTCCAAGTATGTCGGCTTCACTGTGCGAAGGCTTTAGTTACCTTATAGCTTCAGTTTTTTGCTTACAGAAAATGTGGAAGTGTGTATCTCGGTAGTTCTGTAGTCATTGTTCCACATCTGATGATTCCGAGTGGAATGGTAGTTGTGCTATTCAAAGAATTGCAAAGACAGTACAGTGTTTCTCCCACTATTTGGTTTCATTGATATAGCTTTTGTGTCAAATATTCCAGACGTGTGCACTAATACAACATGAGCGCTCTAACCAAAGTAATATAGATATAAACGATTGTGCAACAGTTTGAAGGACAGGCACTCAGTCTGTGAATTTTTGCGCTTGAAAACCATGAACCGTCCCCCTGCTGAAATCTCGGAGTTCACTACTGGATTGGAATTAAGTCCCCGTCAGTACATGGCAAACCCATTGCGCTCATAACCGGCTATCCTGGTAAAAAAAAGCATTCAGAAGTTAGTCTTAAGTAGGATCCATTGGCAAACTAGATTCATTTCAGTTGTCCTTTTATGAAGTCCTACAGTACTTCTTCCTTTCCTGGATGAATAGGTCGTCCTCCAACCGGTAGCTTCCGCGTTTTCTGTGCAGTTTGAACAACAAGACTAAGCCGTTGAGGAAGATATAAACTATTCACGTACATCCCGTCAACCCGATTGGCGCCCTGTCACAAATGGTACGTCCGGAATAATGTCAAAGCCAGCAAACTGTCATGACTAGAATTATCCCAGTAATTGGTGGGGAAATCCACGACTCACTGAATCATAGGATGGCCGGTCTTGAATAACCGAATTTTACATAACAACTAGCAAAGCATGTTGAATTAATGTATGGGTGAATATAGCTATTTTCATGTATTACTATACATTTATATGGATAGCGTCAATAATAGCATAGATTTTTTTGTCTCGAGTGGACATCCGAAAATTGAGAAACATGTAACCGTGAAAGAAAAACGGTATTATTTGTTTGTTTCGTGCAATCTGTGACAGTTCAGGTAATACTTGAGGGATCGTACCTATGATGATAGAATTGTAACCATGGGGAAGTATGGTCCCTGCTTTGCTCAGCTTAGTCTTATAGACCTGAAATTCATTCATCATTCATTGGCTAAAACAAGTATGTAATCGCATGTTACCCTATTCTTTGTTCGTGCTGTGTATACTCAAATTTCCCGTTTTAATGTCCATCAAATCCCCTTCCACCTGTAAAACATTTCATAACGGAGCGGTATCAGCTTCAGGCTCATTTTGCAAGTCATATACGAGGAACAGCAGTGGCAATGATATGTATCAACTGTTGATCCTTTGGGCAGATTTGTGGTGAGCAACGACCATCCTCGGTCAGACTGATAGTCGGTAAACGGGACCGTAGGAGTCGAAGTACCAGAGTAATTCCTTGCGAAGACAAGCAGGAGAGACACAGAGTAGTATCGCAAACAAAGATTGGTCTGTTGAGATCTTGTAAACGCCACCCATTCAACAGCACCCACATCCAATGGTTGCAGCATTGACGCGTATACGATCTTTTTTTGACAGTAAAACCAATGAAGTCAGTAGCTGATGCTGCACAAAAAATTTGCAAATGCTTTCCTTCGCTGCTAGCGACAGCCATATATTTTCGTGTATCCATACAGAGTTAGATTGAACATTAGTTTTATCTACCCAAACGATCAGTCTATCTTCACTGTAACTTCTTAGCTATCAAAATGCGACTCTTCGTCAGTTGTTCACTATCCATTCCTTCAGGAGCTCAGACATAGGATACACTTTCTTCAGTGTGAGCAAGCATCCACTGAGGTACATGTTCAGTGTTGTCAAAATAACTTTTCAAATTCAGCAGTGAGTTACGGCGTCTCCGTTAGACCTCTTCCAACCCGATCAGTTATATCCTGTACTTCTGTGCTGAACCCTGCGTCGTCTGGGAGTTCAGCTCCAGTACCCAAAACTAACCCATTAGTCAGCTGCCTGTCATTTCGCACCAAACAGTGCCGCAATGTTCTCCCCGTCCTACCAGTCTTCAAAACCCCGAAGCCCGCCCTCTCTCTCTCACACATATCGAGCCATGCCACGGGTTTCGTGCTACAAGTTCCCAGTTTGGATTTTATGTCGGTTTGTTTTATAGGCTTAAGGATGAGAAACCAAATACCTGGGCGGCAGAAGCGTTTGTCATGTTGTGGCTAATTTGACACCGCAACGATGACCGAAATCACTGGGGTTTATTGTTGCACTTATTGCTAGCGATTTTTCGGGTGTGCAACGGGTACTTCCACTGAATAATGTGTCCAGCACCAGAAGCTGCATTGGTTGGGACGTGTTGCTTATGTCTAACCATCGTTTGCCGAAGAGAGTGCTGTTTTCCATGCCCAGTTCAAAGTGGCGGGAGCAAAGAGGTGGCCAACCCGTCACCTAATAGAGGGTCATGAAGGAGAGTACGAAACTCTTGGGTGCTGTCGGTGCTACTCGCCTTCCAGGATGGGGACCACGTGATCCCCTGCGCCTGGTTGGAGACTCTTCGAGATATGGCTGCCAACCGATATCAGTGGCGTTCTTGTTATCGGTTTCTACCCTGATTATCTGAGTGAATGTCTGGAGGTGTAGGCACCTCGGAATGATTGTAGTAAGCTTGCGATAACTCCCATCCACACCCACCTTTATTCTTTTATTTACATTATAGCTTTCGAATAAATCATGGTTGTACGGCAGCGAAGCATCGGCGTTGAACGCCTATGTCATACTGTCGAAGACCATGATAATGATTTCTAGCTGTTGGAGGGGCAGCAGTGGTCCCAGGTAATCGTAGTGGAACCTAGCGGCGGGTTCTTCGGCCAATATAACGTTTTCACCATAGGCTTGACATGCATGAGAGTCTTCACGGTTAGTGAGCAAGGCTGTGTCACATTGTCTTCAATCAACAGCAAGTGTGAAACGGCACCAAACGAGGCCTCAGTGTGATATCGGGTTCAAACACCCAAGCCATAGTGACCAGTCCCTATCCTGATTCCGGGTCTTTCCACAGGCACGCAGATCAGCTTATTTCTTGCCGAGGCATAGTGATTATTGGCTGGTGCCCATTGTTCACTGGTTGGTCGGTGGATCGTAATCAACAAAGGGCAAAGGTCTGTGTTGCGGTCGTCTTATGTGGAATCAACCTCGTGATTCTGATCGATGGTGTATGCACATTCTTGGCAATTCAGGATATGTTTGCAGACAAACAGATGGGGCATGTTAGTTGATGCAGTGTGATGCACTTGACGCACACACATCAATGATACCGTTGTCTAGCGGAACGGCAAGTGTAGCACGACGGATGAAGGGTACCAAGACCGTGACCAGAGAAAACGGTTGGAAATCAGTAGGCACATAGATGGAGTAAGTAAGCGAATGAGGCAATAGCCAGGTTGTTAACTCCGATTTCAAAGGTACTAACGTCAGTGATCCATCAGCTGCAATCCCAGGTTTTTACTCAGTCATAAAAACACCTATCCACATGTGTTTTGGTAACTAGACTCCTGGGTGCACTACATAGAACTGTCAGGAAGGTCTGAGTCCTGGAAATTATAACGGAATGCTCGAAGCCTACTGAGATCCAAAAATCAACCAGAGTCGCAGTAGGGAAACCGTCAAGCATCCAGGCCAGAAAGCCAGCTTCCGACTGAACGCTCAAGCAGCCAATCATTTCAGAAATGGCCGACGAATATCAGTGTTCACCGAACGCCGATCAGACAACGTGGATCAAAGTCGAAAGTAGGCTTTATATACCTCAGAGTCCGTGTAACCTTTGCACTCGCTCGCGAATACGGTGGCAATCTTTCACTCGCACAATCTTTTGCCTCTATTATTGGCATTGCAAGGTCTAACAACAGCAGAAATCGTGTCCGGTGCTCTTAAGCTTTTATTTGGCTGGCTACGATAGTTCCGCCAGGACAGGCAGAAAAGTGCTCAAAAGAGAGGGATGTGAACGCAAATTTCACACACACCGCTAAAACTAGTACTTATCGACTGAAGTGTCAACGTTGATGCAGCAAGTCTTCAGGCAACATTGGATTATTGGGTAGCAGACCAGCAGTACTTTGTCCGAACGTAGACTCCTCATTTCAATCCCACTGCCTAATAAATCCCCTCGTTATTGACAACGTAAGGCAAAAATATTGGGCTCAAAGTTGACTTGATGACGGCAAACAAGGCAGTACTGTTGGTGTTCAGGAAAGAAGTGAGAACATGAAGGACGGACTTACTACACTTTACTACAACCGAAATGAACGGAGGAATAAGGAGTGAATCGGTGAAAGGGGGAGTTTTGGTCTTGGGGAATTAACTTTTATGGGAAGAGGAGCGGACGTTTTTTATCATGGAGAGAAGAGAGACAGGATATGGTAGAGGGAAGAACGAATGCCTTTTGATTAGGCAAAATAACCGGAGAGAAGGAATTCTCCTAACCACTCTTTGCTTTTTCTGAATTTTCCATCCTTTCGTATTTCTCCTCAAAAGAATCAAGCTATGCACTAATCTATGTTCGACCAACAACGTTTCAGTCCGTAAACTATTCTGGGCACAATGGGATGGAAAGATAACAAAGTACACATGCAGTGACAATTTTGCAAGGCTAATCTGAATTTTCCACACCAACGACGTTTTCGATCCACCGGAGAACGCGGTTAACTTGGGTACGCAGCAATGAGGGAGGGTGTTGGTCGTCCTCTATTCCACTGTCATCATCATCGTCGTATCCGTCCTTGTCTTCTGTATCACCGTGGTCTTCATCGTCGCCATCAGTCTCATCACCGTCTTCATGATCGTCGTCGTCATCGTTGATTGATGCACCATTTCGCGCTACTACCGCTGATTTTGCAAATTTCCTTGGCAGGTGTTCCCTCAGTTGGTGTCTTATCAAATCTTTTTCTAAAGGGCAAAGGAAGGAAAGGATAGAGGAACGACATAAGGACCAGAGTTATTCGACTGCGCCAACTACTGGCATGTGGTGGAACGTGTTCCATGGTCCCACAGAAGTTCATTATGATTGCGAGTGTAACGGAGTCTCTCAGACACTCGTATAAGTTTCTCCCCTTCAGTCCTAGTCAGCTCCGCAAAGTGTCATGCTGAGTTCAAATCTGTGCAGTTAGTCATGTGAGTTGCACCAATGTTATGACTCAGATTAGGGTACTATTTACTTGACTGTCCGCAAATGCTGTCTAGCTCGCTCACCAGTTAAGTCACATTATGGCAAGCAGGGCTACGTGCGTCCAGACGTGAATTTTGAGCATGAACGCTCCCTCAAGTATTCATCACAACCAAACTGGAGTGAAATCGAGGTGGAGTTCCACTGTTCAGAAAAACATATCAAAATGTGTACAGAAATTCCCGAAAGTACTCATGATTTGAGTCTTGGATACTCCAACATCAATGAACGAACAGGCTCATCTTCAAGCAGAGTTTATTAGTATCAAACTCGTTACTAGACTAAATCTGTCCCTATGGTGACAACTCGTTGGTTTTCCCTTAACTTCCAGTCGGAATACTGCAAAAGCTGTTTGTTTCGGTGTTAGTTTCACCACAGGTATGCAAAATTCACAGGTTTTGTCAGAGACTTGGGTGTTCATCTAAAAAGGTTTTATGCTCACGTGCCAACATACTTGCACAGTTGTAAAAAAGATTGTCAGCGTAAATGAACTCACGCTTCTGAAGACAGAGTAAACTATACTAATCGGTTCCTGTGTTTCAACTATGCACATAAATTTAGTGTAAACGGAAAGTGCACTGGGTACAGGTCTGAATTTACCTTGCTGTTCGTGGATAGTTAGAGAAGATTTGGGAAAATCGCTTCGTTCAACTGGGCACACACGCACGTATTCGTGACAGAACGATAGTGTTGGTGTTTGCCATGCGAGCAGAGTGGAAGGCTAGGAATTCAAAAGTGGACTTCTAAAGCTCTGGACACAATGCAGCCGAGGACTGCTACAGAAACTAGTACTGAATGCGTCGAAACCGTACTGCTGTTTGCTGTTCTCATATGAGTACCCTCTTTTTATCGTTAGACCTCTAAAAAGGCGTTTCAGCCATACTTTATTTTGCGGTCTTTACATCCACGCCCGGGTGTGAAACTATCTACTTAAGTGAGCGTCCAACTTTTTGCAGTTAGGTAACAAGAACGGCCAAAGTCAGTGTTTGAGATGGCAGACGCCGACCGTAGGCTTCGTACTAAACATTTCGGATTCAATTCCGACCATCATTTGAGGAGGTTTCATTTACCTAGATTCAATTTCACTATAAAGCAAGCAAGGTTACTGTCATTTTTGTGACAAACAAAAGCTAATACGTATTGCGGTAAATCTAAGGGTTATCTAGGTTGGTGTTGCCGAAGCTAGCTCTCTTTTACCCTCATTCGTTTACCATACCTCAATTACCTTACCTTATTCTCTCCAGTAGCCGTGCAGCCGACGGCAGCGTAGCCACAAGAGCTAATTGTGAGTTTAAAAACATAGTAGGAATGACACTGATATCACTTATAGAATGTTCTCTCGCTATCAAAACCAAAGGTTAAATGACACGGTAAGAAGACTCAGCCTTTGAACCATTACTCGGGAAGTGAAACCAAGCAAGATTAACTTCTGCCATAAGGCGGGCGAACAGA